TTGATTTACCCCACCTATGGCTGCTCCCCTTCCTCCCCACTTCACCCCCCCATCCCACCAGGGACCCCCCCATGCTTGCTCCCCAGGGTGATGCTGTTTGAGTAGCCCTGACCCTGTCAGTGTCCCTGAAGTGCCCTCCAAGCCCGAGGGCAAGCGGGTTGGGAAGGGAACGGGAGGACCTGGGATGGGTGCTGGGGAGAGGGTTGCTCTCTCCCCATGCAGGGCCTGTCCTTGGAGGAGGGAGAGGTGTTGCATGTGGGACTTGCTTGGGCTGGGCTATGGGGAAAGCCGAGCATTTAGCATCTCCTGCGGAAGTTGGCGGCGTTTGCAGATGCACAACGCTTGGGTGTGCGTGGCCTCTGCGGTCCCTGTGTCCCTTCTTGTGAAGAACCAGCTCTGTAAACGGATAAATCCATCAATGATTCCTCTCCCCCCGGGGGTGCTGTGACCCCTCACGTCGTGCCGGTTGCAGAGCATCAGCTGGGCCATGCGTACTGGGTCGAGCCAAGGGTCCGGAGATGGTATTTCCAAGGAGGTGTGCGGCGCTGACCTGCGTGAACGCAGAGCTGCTTTGCGGTGCTGCCAGGGAGCATCGTGCCTCTTCTTCCTGAGGTGGGGGGAGTTGTTTACAAAGCGACAGCCTGTGTCTCAAATGGCTCAGAAATTCATCCGGGGATGAGAGTCATTCATTTTTGGCTTCATTTTCAAGCATTTTTCAAGCTGTCACAGCTTGGCAGGTCTGTAGCTGCAGTGTCAAGATTTAGAATTATTCTGTCGGTAATTGCTTTCTGATTCATCAAAATGATAGATGAGAGGGAAAATGACAAATAATCACAAGTTGGGGATCTTCAAGGATATCCCTAAAAATGTGACTGGAGAAGCGTGGCATGTGTGAGTCCCTTGTCAGGAGGTCACCTTTGCTGTCAGATCATTTACAAAGAAATTTTCTTAAATTCAGAGTTGGAAAAAAGCCTGGAAAATGCGTCCGTGAGCCAAACTGCAAAGATAGTTTTAGATAATTCAGTCTTTGGCCTTTTTTGCTGAGCCTGAAAGCAGGTATCGTCACCTCGGGTACTAGCAACTGTCCTTTCCAAGAGTGCTAAAAGCAAAATACAGCTTCTGTGCTTAACTTCCCTACCTGAAGAGGGGGGATGTGCTCTGATGCTTGTTTTCTTCCCTCAGCTATACCAGCTTGTCTAATAAAAGCTATTACCGCTCTCTCCTACTCATAGCCTCAGACTAGCGCAGCTACGAGTGATCTCTTACTTGCCTTGTTCCCTTAGTTACATTTACAGAGACTCTCTTTGCCACAAGTCCCTTCATTTTCAGAAGCGTTGTGGGAGTTGTGTGGTTACATCTCTTACATCTTTTTTTTTTTCTTTTTTCTTTCCTTTAAATGTTGGAGGTAGGTGACTCATCATAACTCCAGCTGATATTTCTCAGTGATCTCTTATTTAGCACAGTGCATCAAGCAGAAGATGTATCGCAGAGTCAGAGGAGAGCTGGTGATATCAGTGTGGATTTTTAAAAAAAAAAAAGACAGCATGGCAGTTGCTTGTTGCTGTTTGCTTTTGTTTCGGTGGAAAAAGGTTTACAGGCTGTCTCTCTAAAACCAGTGACCCTGTGTAGGCTCACGTACTGGAGGCGTGGGCCTCTCCAGTCCTCCTCGCCATCATTGTGCTAAAAGGCCTGTGTAAGTGTTTTTCTTCCGATAAGGGAGTGTTCCCCACTCCGACGGACTCCCTTTGTGGGGGCAGTTCCCAGCAGCTGGGTGTGAGGCTTGGTTCATCTCTCTGGGCAGAGGGCAAAGAGACTGGAGCAAAAGATTAAAAAAAAAATTGGAGAAAGTATAATGAGAATATTCCAACAAGAGCTGAGTTCAGCTCAGCTGGAGCAGAACAGCTTTGTTTTGCAAGAGCCAGTGCTTTATCAAAAGCAGTGCTTGTTGTTATTTCCCCTTCCTAAACAGACAAACATTTGTGGACTGTGGTGGTCCTTGCAGTCGCGTCTGGAGCTGTGCATGCCACTTGTATGATATTCCGTCTTCAGAGGGCTCAGCAAACCTTCAGTGCAAATCATGACTCACCAGGATAATCATCTTTTGTCTCTAGGCATGTGTGTGCATGTATTTGCAGAGGAAGGGAGGCAGAGAAGCTGAGGGAGCTTTTCAAGGCTGCAGATAGTAGGGAGGGAATGCGTGTATTCCTCTCTCAGCCTCACCTTGCTGCCTCGGACTGTAGATGGAGCAGTGCACTGCTGTTCTTAGTACTGATGGGGATTTTGAACTTCTTGCTCATTAGTATTTCTACACACAGCAGCCGTTTGCAATTTTGTGGTGTTAGAGAGGAGGATTTGGCTTTATATTGGGTGATGTAGGGTCTTTGTTGCATCTTCTCTTACTCTTATTTTAGATCTAAGCAGCACATTTGAGCTATTTCAGTGATCTTGGAGGAAGGCAGAATGATCCTGTGGAAGGACACCGGTCTGGGAACTGGCCAACTTGACTTGCATTTCCAGCTCTGCCGTTCTCCGGTGTGTAACGAGGGGCTTGTTGCTTAACCGCTCTGCACATGTTTAATTCTAACTTAAACAGAGCTGGTCGTGCTCAGCTTTGTAAGGTTCTTGTAGATCACAGTTCAGGAGGCACCGAATATTGTTATTTGCCAAACATAGACAGGAAAGGGTGGTTTAACTCCGTGTGCCGTCCTGCTGCTCTCATGCGCCCAGATCTCTTCCTGATCCTCTCGTCTGAGTCCTTTTTGATCAAAGCAGCTAACGCTTGCTGTGCATCTCTCTCCAACAGTCTACGGGCTGGCAAGGAAAGGAGACGCTGAAGTACAAGCTTGCATTGTGTGGGCACCTGCCCTCAATTGTGCTGTTCATAGAGCACTCAGGTTTGCACTAATAATGCTCAGCAGGTTCCTCCCTCCTTGTCAAGTGCCTTATTTAATACAAATGGTTCAGGCATGTCTGTGCAGAGGACTTCCGGAGGCTGATGCTCATTGAGAAATCCAGGCTGCGAGATAAACCTGTTGTCTTGTTTCCAGCCTGCCTACTGCCATTGCCTGCGTTTTCCCTTTTTGTTCGGGCTGGTGCAGCCTTGCACCAAGCTGCTGTGCTGTGAGCAAAACAGCATCCTTTGCGGAACGTGGCTTTCCCTCTTGTTGAATAGAAAAGCTGACAAATGGCTGTGCTGCGGTGGCTTCTTGTTCTGGCACGCAAGTTTCAGCTTGATCTGCTGCCACAGCCTGGTTTGTTCTGCACCAGGATGGTGAAGGTGTGGGGCTGAGGAGGGGAAGTTTGGGGTTGTGTTGGAAGGTGGGAGACCTGCTGTGAAGCAATAATTTGGAGCAGTTCGTGGAGGAGCTTTAACAGGAGAAGCTAAGAGCTTGGGAGCAAGGACATTCAAAGTGGCTTTGGTCTGTGTTGCTGTTCCCCTGAAACCCCTTTTTAGCAATCGGCTATAATAAAATGTTCTTAACTAGATGAGTGGTGACTGGTACATGTGGCTCCCAGTAATGCTAAATCCACCATGTTTTGTAATAAGGTTCTAATGCCTGGGGTATTTTACGTAAAAATAGCAAAAAAAAGAAAAAAAGAGATGGCTGTTAAGGGAAATCTAAATCAGAAGGAAACAAATGGCTTTTAATCTTTTCCTCTGTTTCAGAGTGAAGGATGCCGAGGAAGAAGAAGCCCACAGAAGGCCTGGACTCTCGAGGTCAGGATGGTGAGGAAGAGGAGGAAGAGAAGAGGAACCCAGTCAATGTCAAGAAGAAGCGCAGTTTTGTGGATGCATTTATTGTTATATCCGACAGCGATGGAGAGGTCAGTGATTGGCTCGTGGTATCCACAGCCTGTGCTGGGCCCTGCTGTTGCACAGAGCGCCCGAGTATCCCACGCTGTATGTACCGGGGTCAGTCTTTGTGCGGAGGGTATCGTGTTGTTCCTTTTCTTACGTATGAGATGAATCAAATCCTATTTGACTAGGAGATGAATGATATGCTTCGTGAGGGTGAGTTATGAGTCTGGGATTTGATAACCAAATCCTCTCAGAACTGAATTTGGAACATAATTTAAAAGTAACCTTTCCTCAATCCCTTTACAAATCTTTTTTTCATAATTTTTATTTGATTGATTTCCAGCTAAACCATAGAAACATGATTCTGTATTATGTGCAAATAGATAAGAAAATGATTCAGAACACAGCCTTGCAAGTAGCTCAGACACAGCTGGTGTCCGGTAAACTGATCCTGAATTACAGAAGGCTGAGTTTTTAACCCGCTTCCATAGGGTGTAAAGGTGAACTGCAGTGTGGGTGTGCCTGGCTAAGGCATAAAGGCTCAGATCAGTGATCCCTAGCGTTGTCTTACAAACATCAGCCTTACCCTAAAAGATTGAAATGTTTGTGTCTGTTACACTGGCATTGGGATGAGCGCAGGAGCTCCCGCCTGGGGGAAACCCGGAGCCCTCAGAATCTGTCCTCAACTTAAGTGAGGTACACCAGAGGAAATTACTAGAATCAATTTTTTATGTATGACTGTTAGGGCTTTGCTCTGTCTTGCCAGTGATTGGGAATCCTAAGCTGCTTTTTGTAATTCCACCATTTTCAAAAGCATTTCAGTTCACTCTCAAGCTGTAGATCTTAAATCAAGTCCCTTTTGCTCCCACATCTGCAGCATGCTCCTCTACAGTAAGGCGATTATCATGTGAGGAGGGAAAAAGCACTAGAAATAAACAGTAAAAAGCTGTAGGGCAAATGATATTGGATGTTTTTTCTTCACATTGTCTGAGTTCTTTCCCCATTGGGAAATTCCCTGAAAGAAATGGAACATATGGCAGTAATAGTTGAGTGGGGTTAAACCCTTAGCTCTGCAATATGCTAAGTTAACTTCAGATGTCTGCTGCATCACTGGCCTTTATTGTGAAACCTATAAGGAAAAAAGAAATCAGCAGCTATAAGAGCTGCTGCAGTACATAAAAGATCAGGACCTGTTATTGTCTGCAATTATTCATCTCAATGTGCGCGTATCTGAAAAAGAGGAAACAAACGTCTCTTAAAACACATCTATAAAAAGGTTAGGCTCCCTGGCTGTTCTGTAAGTTTGTCTATAAACAATAAATTCTGATGGCATAATCGGTCATATTACAGAAAAGGATATGCTCAGAGAGGCCGTTAAAGAGCCAATTAGGTTCTGTTTAAGTGACAACAGTTCAGTCAGTTGAATGAGTGGATTTATTCAGTTCAGTTTCTTTCTGTGAGTCATCAGCTTCCAGATCCAGTGCCACAGTCTCTTGTCGTGTTGTTTTCTGCAAAATCAAACCCAAAAATGTGATTTACTTGGGATCTCAAAAAAATAACTGTCTGGCTTCTGTAACTGTCTCGGCTCTTCAGTGTACATCAAGTTGAATTTCAATTTCGAACCTTGTAACTGTTGTTCTTGCTCTAGTAAGACCTTGTTATGTGTTCAAGAAGAGGTGTGGGAAGCTCAGATCAATAGCAATTTTAGAGAACAATGCATTCTCAATTAATCTTGCATCTGTTAGGACATGGTTCCTTATGAATCAAAAAGCTACAAGGACAATTTGGGCATCATTGATTCGATGGCTTTCTTCCTTGGCAGTCTCTTGGCAGGTATCTATAGAACAAGTCCCTAGTTCTGCTTCCAGACCAGCAGATCTTGTAGCAGCTGCACCTGGAAAGCCTCCAGCTTCTCACTTTTGATGATCTTTGGCAGACTGCCTCTCCCAGGAATTTTTCAGTCATGCTGGATTATCGAGCTCATCCATGTTATTTTGCCAAGTGTTCTTTCTTTGCTCATGTCTGTGCTGTGGCATCTGCAGAGCTGCATCAGAAGGAAGTTTTCTGAACGTGGGGCTTTCTGATCTCTGCTATAGATAATCCTGGATTCAGGGAACACTTCTCTTTTTTTGGGAAGGGTCAGACAAAATAAGAACAGTCTCTCTGGCTTTGTGGAAACAAGAGGAGATGACCTTTTTTGTGCAGACTGTGTCTCTGAAAATGCAGACACGATGAATAAGCAAAGTAGTTCCCATCTCCCCTGATAGTTTAAATCTTGTGGGGAGCAGAAGATGGGTGTGTGATATTTCAAGTGGTGCCCAAGAAAGCTCTCTCCAAGCATAGCAACTCCTGATCTGTCTCATGAGCCTCCTTCTTGAGTCAGGCTGTTGATAAAGACTCTTTAACCTTCAAGGTTTTCTGAAGCCACATCTGAAATGGTTGTCACCCAGCAGGAGGTCTGGCCAAGTGTGAGCGTTGAGCATGGCCAGAGGCCCAGGAGTTCTGCTGACCTATTTGGCTGATCCGCAGCCTTCAGTGCAGTTGATCCCAAAATGCTGCTGATCAGCCATGGGACCTTTCAGAAGGGTCCATTTTTCCTGGGTATAACCTTTGGGAGGTCTGAGAGTACCTGTCTCCACTTGTAAAGTTTGCATGAAGTCTCACAGGCTCCTTCTGCCAGATTCATCAGCTCTGCCAGCCCCCGGGGGACATGACAAGACTCTGGGGTGATGGTGCCATCTATTTCTGCATGGCATCCAGGGCCTGTTTTCCCTTTGGGGTGGAACATCCCTTTGCCTGAGTATTCCTGTATTTGGAGATGTTCACAGCCTGGGTAAATAGCAGCGTGTGTTGATGTTACAGATCAGATGTTGGTTTTGGTAGAGAGAAGGACGTGTGCTTGGGCAGTGGCCACCCCCCCATCCTGTTCTCCATCAGCAGTGGCAGTAGGCGCTTTATTTTGGGACCAGGCATGGCCTGAGGGACATCTCACTATGGAGAAGATGGTGCTGGAAGTGTCGCAGCTAGGATGGCAGTGCCCACCTCACACTGCTGACCATCGAAGCGAAGCAGAGCCATGTGGGAGTATCGCTGCAGCACCCTGCTGTCCCCATGGGCTCTGCTGTGGTACCAAGGGACCCGGTGCCTCCGGTTCCCAGAGGAGAACGCGGTGTGAGTGTGCTCCCACAGAGGCTCAGCAGCTCTGCTGTGCTCGCTCCTCGGAAATCAGATTGCTCTGAATCCAGGCTCCTCGCAGCCCGGTAAAAGCCCTTTTCTCTACAGAGGCCCCCCTCCTGTATGTCAGGAACTACATGTCTAGCACGAGCCCTGTTGTGTCTCGTTGTTCAAGTCTCCACTTCCAGCAGGTTTGTTCTAATGAGCTGAAAGACAGAGCAGAGCTGAAACTGATTCTGAACTCAAGTCAGAGACTAATAAAGTAGGGTGTGATATTAATTTCAGCAGCAGCCTTGGCTAGAGCCAAACGTGGCACTTCCAACATCTAATTGGCTTTTAAAAATAAATTAGTCTGGTTTTCATCTGTGTATTTCCCATGCAGGATGTGTGGCGTTTGGCTGTACCCTGTTGTTAGATGGTCCCAACTGCCATTGAGCAGTCAAATTACCCAGACCTTTTGACTTTGCAGTCTGCACCGTTAGCTATGGAGACATCCTTCTGTAGCCTTTCCTTCCCTGAGTCAGTAGAAGCTGATTTCTGTGGTTTATGATGTGGATTCGAGGGAGCAGGATGTGGGAGGCTGGCTACTGGCTTTCATTTACGGGCTTTTAGAAGCGAGTGGAGCTGTATCTGTTTCTGCTGGCAGAGTCAGGTTCTCTTAAGTATGTGCAAAAGCATTTTTAAAATGAGAATTTGATTTCCTGCTGTCTGGTGAAACCAAGCAGGTTAAAAAAACAAGGAAGAAGAATAGTGGCTGCCTTCCACTAAGAGTGTAGGGATCTTTGGAAACCTGTCTTTTTCTTGATCTGTGTACAGTGCTGACAGTGAAATTGCTCATAAGAGAGCATCATAAATTAAACTGCAGAGCCTGACACACAGGAAGAGAATTTGGATTCCTTCTGGCCATTATGCTTTAAATTGACGGCAAAGGAGGAGAGACGCTATCCAGGCTGGCACTGAGCAGAGGTGCGCAGTTCCCACCTCGCCTCCGCTATAATAATTAGTTTCCCCTGGAAGTTGTGTGTTGGAGATGACCTTGTAACTAAGAGTATTGGCTGCAGTTTGGGAATATTTTAATTGATTAAGATTATTTTTGGACTAGTGATCTTATTAGAAAGGCAGTTGGTTGAGTGGCCCCCTGAGTTCCTATTATCCTTGTAGACAGATGAGCATTAAAAGGTTGGGTCAGAAAGAGCAAGCCCTGTTGTCTTCTCTGAATTTACTTGGCCCCTTCTGTTTCTACCATCCATGCCTGCATTTATGCAGAGCACTCTGGGGCCTGCGGGGCTCTCTCCCAGCAGAGGTACAAACAGCCATAAATCCTAATTAAAAGGTATGTTTTATTTTCTGGGTTTAAAAATAAAAAAGATTTAAGAATTCTTGGAATTGAGATGTGTGTGTATATTTTGGCCCATCAGGATTAATTTGATTTGCTTCACTGGTTTGCTGTACCGTGGCTGTTCAGTAGAACGCTGCTAAGCAATTTAAACATCTTTCTCAAATGTATGAGGTTCATACAACACGTGTCCTGCAATAATTTTGCTCCTGACACTGTTGTAAATGTCGAGATTCTTCAGGACCCAGCATGGGGAACCGAGGCACGTATTCGGCTGTGCGGTGAAACCGGGCAGCCTGCCCGGCACTGGGCATGCCGTTCCCCTCCAAAGCCCCGGAGGTGTTTGAGCCCTGTCTTGTCCTATGGTGCGTGTTGTAAGTGTGTGTCTCTGTGCACGGAGCAGACAGTGGCAGCCGTGGAAAGTTTGGTGTGCTCATAAATCACATCCGTGCCCTGGAAGAGAGCTGCAGATGAGAGTGTCAGGGTTGACCTTCTGGCAAGTGCAAGAGTGATGAGGGGAAGACTGATGCCTAGAGAGAAGAGCTAGGGATTTACAGAGCCTGCTAGGATTAAATTGCCCCTGTCTTAAGCTAGGGTAGGTTTAGCATTGTTAGACAGGGCTTTGGGGGAGAGCGGGAGAGCTGTTGCTTAACCTCATCCAGCATATAATCCTAGCGTGATCCTGATACAATCCCACAAACTGTTCCCCTCTCCCTTAGGTGTGAGCTGCCCACAAGGTCAGCACGGGGCTGCCGCTGCAGACCAAGGCAGGACAATTCGGAGCAGGAGAACCTGTGGCTTATGGAAAACTGGAGGAGAGCAATGTGCCAGGGCCCTGGAAGAGAGAGGATTTCACCTGCTGAGCGTTAAGCTAGGCAGGCTCAGAAGCAGAGAGCATCCATCTTCTAGCAAGAGAGAATCTGGCTGTGAAGGACCCTTTTGGAGACACAGGGGCAGACCTTAGAAATGGCATACCAAAACCAGGCTGGGTGGGGAAGAGAAGAAGGAATCGGTCAAAGGAAAAAGTCCTTAGGTGCGAGCATGAGTGCGTGTGGAGGGACTTGCCAAGCATGATTGCTGCCTTGTTGTGAGCTGATTCTTAAATCAGTGGAAGTGAGGAATGGTGTAGGTATTAGGGCATGTAAAAGCTGTAATGTTTTAGGGTTTCAGGAAACCACTTAATAGTATGTCTTGCAAAATCTTAGTTGGATAAATAATTCAATTTGGTCTAGATAGTAACATTCCTGGATTGAAATCCTGCTAAAAGACTGTCAGCAAAAGCCGGTGATGAACAGGAGAGAGGCTCATTTGGGGGAGATGTAAAGCTGAGGCCAGGAGAATCAATATTAGGTCTGTGTGTGTTTTAACATCTTCATTAATGATCTGTAAGAGGGAGCAAGTGGTGTATATACATTAATAAAATCTACTGATAACGCTAAAGCTGGAGATGTCTTGAACAAAACTCAGCACAGAGGTGCAGTCCAAAGGACTCCACAGGTTCAGAAACACGGGCAGTGGACAGCAGAAATTGATTACACTTGAAAATAAGCAGCGTAGTATCCGTTTGTGTTAAAGTAGCCCAAGCAACATGCCCCATCTTGAAGCCCCCCTCCTGGCACAGGAGGTGGCATGAGGCACAAGCGTGTGGCCACTTTGCCGTGGGTCTTACAGACGGCAAAAACAACTGCAGCTGCAGACGGAGCCATGTGAACCCCCTTCCTGGCCAGGCGTGGGTCTATCTGCCTGAAACGCTGGGTTTGATTCTAATCCTACCTGATTTAGAGAGACAAATTGGAAGGGGTCCAGTGCCAGCCTTTGGTAATATGTACGCCCTCGCTTAAGCCGTTAGGACAGCAACTTGCATAAATGTGTGCCAATTAAGCCTGTGACCATTCTTGTTGCAGTCCAGTGCTTAAAGCAGCAGGCACTTAGGTTGTTCATGTAGGTATTATTCTGAGAGGCCTCAAGATGGCAAATTTCTGAAGTATTCAAGCTTCAAAAATGAAACACTTGTGGCAACACAATGAGAGAATAGCACCGGGAGTAAATACAGCTGGCTCTCCTGCCCTCGGGGTGCATTAGCATGGGTCCCCAAAAATGGCTAGGATTCTAGTTTTGGTCAAATAAAATTGTCTGGGCAGGGCGCTAGAAGCTGCGTGGCAGGAAGCAGTCCTGGCTTACAGGTGTGAGATGTTCGGTTATAAAAAGGTTTTGGTTTTCTGTTTCAAGTGCTTACAAATACCAGTGTTTTAGCAAGGCCAAACAAATTCCCTCTAAAATCATGGGCAGCAGGTGCAGTGCATTGGTGGTGACTGGCATGAAGTCTATTGTCTCTCCTACTTCTCTGTTTATGTCAGTCTGTAACTCTTTTTGCTCGTTATGCTTATCACACAGCTTTTAATAGTTACAGAATGTGCTTGAATTATGTTTGAAATTCAAATTTCACACAAATAGAGGCTTGCTCTTGAACCAGTGTTTGTGTCTGAGTAGTGGGGGGGAGGGGGCTGGTAGTATTTCTTACATATTGTATGCGCTCACCATATTTTTTTCCATTATAGCAGGAGTCAAAGGAAGAGAGCGGATTGCAAAAGAAGAGAACAAAACAGCAGCTGGATAGAACGAAGTTTGCTGCTAAAAGAAAAATTGCACGTAGGTCTCGATCGAGTGTGGGGCTGGGGAAGTAGACTGGTGTTGAGCAGCTTCTGCTGTTTGTATTAGAGATGATTTCCCTTGCAGAAAGGCTGTGATGTGTCAGGGGATGCACAGCTCTTGGAGAAGACCCGAGAGGGTCTTCTTTACTTCTCAGGGGTAAAATTTGCCTTTCTGAATAGGCAGACTGTCACTTGTTTGCTCCCCAGGCGGCGTGTGCGCAGAGCGGTGCACTTCCAAAATAAGTATGCGAGGGTGTCGGTACCTCACCGGGTTTCAAAATTGGTTGAAGCCAACCTGAAAGCACTGTCAGTCACAAACTGCTTTCCCATTCAGACCCTTCTGCTGCTGTCTTTCCCTGAAACGTCATGATGCTCTGACCCAGCTCGGGAAAGATCTGAGTCGCAGCTGACAGTTCTCTGAAATCATCGGCTCGTAGTGTGGGGGCAGCTGGAGAAGTCAGCAACATTGGGCATCATATGAAAGGGTGTTAAGAACAAGAGATTTGTTTTTACGTCATTTTGCTGTTATATAAAGTGTCGGTGCATCCACATCAACAGCGCTGTGTGCGGTTCTGGTCTCTGCATCTCAAGGACATGGTGGTACATCCGGAGAAGGGCAACCCAAGCCATGAAGGGGAGGGAGCAGCTGCCTTATGAGGAGTGACTGGACAGCCTGGGGCTGCTCCGTTAGGAGAGGGAGGTGGGATCAAAGTTCACATCAGGAAGGCAGTGCCTCAGCTGAATGCAGAGCTGTTTACCAACTCCTACAGCCAGGGTGGAAATAGCAGGATATAGGTTTAAAACGAGTGAAGGAAAGTAATGCTTCACACAGCAGGTAGTGAACTCCTGGAAGTTTTTGTCACAGGAGGTTGTGGAGGGGTCAGTACCAGCAGCTTTAATAAGGGATTAAATGCATTCATGGACAATAGGTCTATAAACAGATGCTGAAGGGA